GTAGATTTATTCAAAATTGTTATCTTTCGGTCCAAAGCACAAAATGTATAAAATTATTTCTAGTTAACCCCTTACGCCTTACGCCCTACAAATTTAATTTTATCCCTTAACTTTAGTGCTTACATTTTACATAATTGATTTCCTAATTTTTAAGTTTCGTGCTCTGTTTCGTTGTACTCGTATGCATGTGTGTGTGTGTGTGTGTGCTGTATACATATATATGTATGTATATGTGCGCAGGATGATAATTTTATTTAGTTTTACGTTGATTTAGTTGCGACACTTTAAGCCAATAAACTACAGAAAAACACACACAAGAAAACAGCAACAGAATCACCCACAACAACCACAACAAAAACAGCACAGATGTTAAGGCAAATCACTACTACACACAGATTTATGTACCAAAAATGTAATAAATATGAAATTATATAAAAACAAAACAAAAGAAAACCAAAACCAAATCAAGACGAAACCAGCAGAAACCAAAAGAAAATTACATTCTAGAGCGTAGCTAGCTGGATTTTTTTGAAATCTTTATTCCCCCTACATAAGTATGAACCCACCCGTAAGCATACATAAAGTATTTTTATACATCATTAGAAGAGAGCTGCACCGGCTCCGGCGTTTGTAGCTGGACCAGAAGGAGTCCAGCACCTGGTGCCCAGTTCTGTGCTCACAGAAACAACAACAAAAGAGTTGCAGAAACTATTTTTTTCCGCTCCACACTTACAAATTCGATTAATCAATATGCAAATATATATAGCAGCCCACAATGGCGTACAGTGGCAAATATTATCCACACTCTTTCGTCGTCTACCAGTTTAAATAAATCAATCCATAACGATATACCATATGTATATTATATATTTAAACAATTTATTCAAGCTAAAATCAAAATATATAATTCACTAGCAGCATTTAAATGTCAAACAAACCAACCAAGTAAAACCAAATAAAAGTTTATGATTATTATTATTACATTAATCAATAATACTCGTTTCATGTTTGGCCCTTTCAATGACCCCAAACGTCCACATGTCCACATGTCCCATCCCGACCACTTGGAAGCACAATTCAAATCGTTAGGTTCGTGGACGAAAGTCTGCGTGGGGATTGTCGGGGAAGGGGCACCATTTTCCATTTCATTTTTTCAGTTTGACCGACACGGATCAATGGTTAGCTTTGATTTCAATTGAAAGAAGTAAGTAATTATTTGGATGCCATTTGGTAAGTTAATTCAATTGATTGCCGCTTGAGCGATTTGTATTGCCAATTAGAGGATATGGCTAGGGCTTTGGACATGGTAGAGGAAAATGTTAAGCGACGGAATGAAGGCTGTCGTTCAGTCCATGAAATACGCAAGAATTAATTATAAGTATTGTTGGTAATAAATAAATACCCAGAAATGTCTACAATGCTTTGTTTATTATTGGGCCTAGCACCCACTTAAATGGGAGTTACATTTCCCTCTCTAATCCTCGTCGACCACGGTCAAGAGTTCCTTGAAGCTGAAGGGCTGGAATGCATAGCCCGCGCCCGCATAGAACTTGCTCATGAACTCCACCCAGTGCAGGCGCAGAGTGTGCAGGAAGGCAGACAGACCCTCCATCATCACCATGATGGCTATGGTGAAGAACTCCCAGACGGCAAAGATGAAGAACAGCCCAATGGCGCCGGTGTAGCCCTCCATTTGCAGGCCCATCGACAACACCATGGTCCACAGCACCTCCGAGAGCTCTGCAAGGAGACAAATTGTAGAACTCAAACTGGGATTGAGATGTGATGTGACTTACGGGCATGGGCCAAGGACAAAGCCCAGAGGCGTAGATAGGAGGCTGTGTGGGAAATGGTACTCAGAATGTACTCAATGGTGTGGATGGCCTGATGGATCCAGATCTCGCTCATGGGCTCGTCATCCTCCTCGCTATGGCCACCAGACTCGTGGGCCTCGGCCACTTCCGTGATGATAACCTCCTTGCCGGTAACCTCGATCTTTTCCACAACTTCATCGACCTCCACCACGGGTTGAGCGGGCTAAAAAATGGAATGGAATGATACAAAACTCTTCCAGCAGAAGTGCATCCCACTCACCATGTTCCTGCGATGCCACTTAATGTAGAGAGGCTTGCCGATGAGGATCCAAGGAATGCAGAGAATGGCCACGACAAAGAAAATCATTTCAATCTCCCGCTGAATGGGAAACATGTTGACATCGCAGCCCGGTGAAGCGGTTTCGGTCTTGAACAGCACCATGTCGATGAACATGATCAGCACGGAGGGTGCACAGCCCGGAGAGTCGGCCAGGACGGTGGTGGTTGGGCTGTACTTGATCCACTTGTAGAACATCATGAAGCACATGTAGCCGAACATCAGCAGCAGGAAGAGCACCTGCGGCACGAACTGCAGGAAGATGTACGCATACTTCTTGAAGAACACAAAGTTCTCCACGGACAGGCAGACGCCAAAGGTCATGTGCAGCACCCCGAAGATGATCGACAGCTTCATCTTGTAGGTGTTCAGGAAGATGATCTTGTTCGAGGCCGACTGCCACACGGGATCGAGGCCCATGGGGTAGACTCCACGGGTGGCCACCGAGGGGTTCAACTGCAGCGTGGGATTGGTCAGCACTGTGGTCCGATTGTAGACGTTCACCCAGTGGGAGCCAAACAGATTTATCGACTTGGAGAATATGTCGTTGTAGTGGAAGCCCGTGTACATGGCAAACAGTCCCATGAGAAGGATAATGTAGCGACCCGCGAAGAAGATGTTCCAGATCTCTCCGCCCCGCTTCTTGGTGAGGCGTCGCTCGTCCAGGACCATCCACAGGCCCAGCAGGAACAGGATGGTGCCGTGGCCCATGTCGCCGAACATCACCGCGAACAGGAAGGGGAACGTGATGCAGGTGTACAGACCAGGGTTTACCTCCCGATAGCTGCTTATGCCGTAGGCGTCGATCAGGTTCTGGAAGCCGCGCGTGAACTTGTTGAGCCTGTAGTAGGTGGGCGGCTCCTTCTTGGTGTCCAGCACGTTGATAAACGAGGGAATGGTGCTGCCCACGGTGGCGGATCCCGCGGCGAGTGCCGTCTCCACCAGCTCCAGCTCCCGCTTGGGCACCCAGGCCTCGCCAATGAGGCACTTGCTGCCCAGATCCACATTGAACAGGTTCAGGGTGTGGTAGATGGCCTTCATTTTCTTGACCATGGCCGTCCACTTGGGCAGCTGCTTGCCCACCGCATTGAGCACACAGTTGCGGTGGTCCTCCGTCTGGCTGATGATGGCTTTGAGGTCATCGAGGCGCGTGCGCACACTCTTCACCATGTCCATGCGCTCCGAGTGCGAGCTGGGGCAGGGATACATGTGGGCATGGAAGCCGGTGCACACCTTCCGAATGCGCGCCTGCAGCTGGTCTCCCTGGAAGAAGACCACGAAGACGCTCTTGTGCAGGACACTGCCCGTGCGGGGGTCCGTCAGTGGCACGTCCACTTCTGCGCGGCGTACGAACACGTTGCCGCGAGAGATGCGCCAGAGCATGCGCTCGAAGGCGTACTCCCTCTCCCGATTGATGACGCCCGCGACGAAGCCCAAGTGTCCATTGGTCTGCTCCGGGTCCCGGTGGGTGCCGCGCTTGTTCAGATCAAAGTTGTGCGACTCCTGGTTGGAGAAGAACTGATCCGTACGCTCCAGCACTTGGATCATCTCCGTGAGCTCCAGGTAGCTGGTGCCCAGGTTGATGTTGTTGGCCGCCAGCTCCATTATCTCCGTCTCCGTCTTCTCCAGGTGCGTCTCCAGCTCAATGATGTCGCGTGGCTTGGGCGCAGGCGGGAAGTCGTCCATTAGGTCCAGGACCTTGTGCCCGTCCTTTTCCAGTTCGGCGGTCACATAGCGAATCTTTCGCTCCAGCTCATCGCAGCGACGCACCTCCCCGATGAATTTTCGCTGCTGTGCGTTCACGCCTTTATTCATCTGCACGAAAAAGTATCTTCAAGCACAAAGGACACTAAATGAGCTCTTTTATCCACAACTTACATCACGAAACTGGGCACAGCCCACCTCGCCGAGCTCGGCAAGTGTGTCGTAGGCTGCCTCCGGCTGCAGAAACATCTGCACCAAGGACATCACCTCGCTGCGGAAGATGCTGTCGGTCTCCTGCTTGGAGCCGAAACTCCACCACTTTGACATTTTCACTTATTTTCTGTATCCTTTTTTTGGGGTGAACAAATTTCCAGTGTGGGCTCCGCACAGTTGTGGCGCAGCTGACGAACTGATCGTCCGGTCAAGTGACTGCGACGTGGAAGGTTCTTCCACAGCTTATCAGCAGTCGTCAAGTCATCAAGTCGCCTGGCTTGCATAATTGTTGGTTAAATACCTGGGCACACGGTGCATAATTGAGCGATCCATCAAAGTGAACGTCCAGTCCCCTGATGACCTGCACCCCCGGGCCCCTTACAACGATTCGCTGTCTTTCCGTTATCAGCTAATCGATTTTCTCACATTGACACAGAATATGTCTTCCGCACGCTCTATTTGATATCAAAATTCATTTAATAATACATATATTTGTGGCAGTTTGATAAATTTATCAACAGATTTTCTTAAACAGAGCCACTAGTTATCCAAATCATAACAGCCGTAAGCTATAGAGCTGCCACATCGATCAAAAATAAGAATTATAAGAACGCGTTAGTGCCTTATATTTTGCTCAATAGCGCTCCCGGCGGTCAAGTTTGTCTAAGTTTCGTTTCGCCGTCAGGTGTATTTGTGCATGTTTGAAAAAACCCTACAAATGAAATTTAATAGATGGATACCGTAAATTTAACGCAATTTCGTAGTTAAAATAACATGACTTTGGTTATTTTGTTTGTATATGATGCTGATGATGACACTTATTTCGCGAGATGGGCAATTGGTGAGTATCGTAAATTTCCCATGAAATTTCCCCCCTTTTCATTTGACTTGATTTTTGATCGTAGAGAACTTTGTGATATCCGCATACACGATACACTTCATATTTGAACAGGTCTCAGTTTGTAGGCAATTTCAAAATTGCAACTTCCATTTGCAATGTGTAATTCATGTACTTCATGTAAATGCTGCTCTGATAAAGAATCGACCACGTTTTTTGCCATATGGAACATCTGCTGTGGGGTATTAATTCTTGCGTCGAATATAAACGGTCTTTTAGACAGTCCTCAAAGTACGTAAGTATTTATATGGGGCAATTTTAACCTTTGACATTTCTTCAGAATGGAGAGCAGAATTGAGCACAGTGAGGAAGGTGGAATGGTCCGAAAGGGATGTCACAGCAGTTCGAATTCTTTCTTATCTGTCCTGCGTGTTTGCGGTATCATATACGGTCTCTGGAATATTGATTCTAATTGGGGATGCGACTGTAACTTATTTTTTTCTGTCACATTTAACAATTTATCCTTTTCCAATACATTTTACTCTACAGGATAGGAAATTGATATTCACTTTGGGCAAATACTTGAGCTATTTAATGCCGTGCTAGAGTATTCTGAGCATATTTTTACCAAGTTTGTATTGAATCGATCATTGGATATTGATTCCTTGTGTCTGATGGTTTTCCTATTTCAGTTGTGCATTTCATTACCGTGTGCAGAGTGTGCCGATATTACCGATCCCGCTGGCCATGATTGCCTCCCAATTGCCACTTGTTCCACTTTAGACATCATTTTTGGACTTGGTTTATTGTATCCCATAAATAACTTTCCTATGCGTTCCATGAAACACGTTAAACGGTTTCTTTACTTTTCGGTTTTTTTTTTGGATTTGGATTCGGAATATCCTTGAAGCGTGGTGGAATGGCTGAGAAATTTGCAAATCCTAACGGACCAATGATATATAATGGTATATTTCATACATTTGTTGGTATACCACGGTATGTGTGTGACGGTCAGACGGGTATGCATGGTGACCATTTAAGCCACATATGTTATATGCTTTTCAGGATAAATTCATTTCAGGATTTTCAGAATACTTTGGATAAAATTATAGTTTTAGTGCGGAGACTCCTAACTAGCTAGTAATATCAAATATAACATCAAAATGAATTAAAATGTACTGTATATTTACAGTATATTTTGAAAATTCAGGGGCATATGTCGGTATATTTCCGAGGATCTATCGGTATATTTGTTCGTCCAATCCACGGTCACACTGTCACCTAAAGAATAGCAAAAAAATACGCGGGAAGTGCAGATAAATTGGCATAATTTTAACGCGTCTGTATTAACAACAATAAACAGCGTAAGTAAATAAGCGGTGCAAAATCTGTGCGCTGGTAAATAAAGTGCGAGAGGAGCTGCAAATTTTTGCATAAATTTGTGAAATTTTGTATGCGTCGTCTGTGAGCGTGTGTGTGTGTGCGCGAATGCGAGTGTTGGACAGAGTGCAGCTGTATGTGTGTATTGGTGTTGAAAAAAATCTATCTCTTCGCTACGCATTTCACCCCCCGTTCATTTGATCTTCTTCCTCTTCTCTTCTGTGTATCTGTGTGCGTGTGTTAATATTATTCCTTTTGGTTTTTTAATTCTTTGTTTATATTTACTTGTAGTTTGTTTTGTTTGCTCCTCTTACTCTTGCTACTTCCCCTCTCCCCACCGACCCGTTGCGATGCTGCGCAAACACCCGCGACATAATTTATAACCACATAAACATAAAACAAAACCCACACTCATTAATCAAATTGCTATTAAGTCTCCAATCTCTCACTCGCAGAAAGAGAGCTCTTACGCGCACTCTGCCCGGCATTTCCATTTTCCATCCATGCGTTTTTGCTGATTTCCATCCTCCCTGCTATCTTTTGCTCTCTCTTTACCCCGCTCTCTCTGTGTGTGTGTGTGTGTGTGCGTACTGCACCTGTCTAGCTGGTGAATTTTGATTATTGCGTCCATGAAATAGAACCCCCTCCCCACCCCTACCGCATGCAAATCATTTGCCTCTCAATCTCCCCCACTTGCAGTCTCTCTCTCTCTCTCTCTGTATCTGAGAGATAAAATGTTCTCTCCAAATAGTTTTATTGGAGCCCCCGGTCCCTGTCGTTCAGTTGAATTTTGGCGCCCGCGTCTAACGGGACAAAGCTCGGGAAATCCAAAAGCATTCGTGTGGTGTCTGAGGGAAACGCTGCGTTGAGGAAGCGCGTGAATTTATTTTTAGCCTTCGTGCCGAATTCAAACGTGTATTAACGCTCCATATAAAACTCAAATCGGCAGCAAATAGATCGCGCAGATCGAGAAGAGCAGAGCACTGCCAAATTAATTGCCAATGAGGGGAGCCTGCCAATAAACGTTCAGCCAGTCCATAAGATAAGATCGATGGCCCATCATCATTTAGTTCCCGCGATCTACATTATATAATCATGGAATTGGATTGACGAGAGAGATACAGAGAGAGAGAGAGAGAGACCGAAATTCGAATAAGAAAATCCAAAAACCGTACAGAAAATGCCCAGCAAATTTCAAAGAAGAAGCTCCCCACAAGCGCCAGGGGCTGGGGCATCGAGCGCCTCGTCAACGCCAAGCAATCAGCCCCGGAAGCAAGTGAAGCGCTGCTGCCGCAACTTCGTCACCTTCATGTGCACGCAGGTGGGCGTGGGCGCCCTGATCGTATTCTACGCCATCTGCGGTGCGTTCGCCTTCATGAACATCGAGCGGGAATACGTGGACAAGACGGCGGCCCATGTGCTGGAGCTGCGGCAGAACTGCTCGCAGCTGCTGTGGTACATCACCGAGGAGCACAATCTGATCGACAAGCTGGTCTGGGTGAACGAGACGAATGCTGTGCTGCGCGAGTACCAGGCGCAGATAGCGGGCATCATCAAGAATGGCTACGTGGGCCGCAGTCCCGAGCAGATCTGGAGCTTCCCGGCAGCTCTGATGTTCTGCCTGTCGGTGATCACAATGATTGGCTACGGGAACATGGTGCCGCGCACGCCCTGGGGCAAGGGCTTCACCGTCATCTACGCCACCTTCGGCATACCCCTGTATATCCTTTACTTCCTCAACATGGGACGCGTGCTGGCGCGCTCCTTCAAGTTTCTGTACCGCTCCATGCACGACTGTACCCAGGAGCGAAACTTTGACTCGCGATTGGACGCACTGGAGAACGGCAGCCTGGGCACGCTGACGCTGCGCAAGAAGATCATTGTACCCTCCACCGCCTGCCTGTGGGTGATCATCTTCTATGTGCTGACCGGCACCATTATGTTTGCCAACTGGGAGAAGTGGAGCTTCCTGAACAGCTTCTACTTCTGCATGACATCGCTGTGCAAAATTGGCTTTGGGGACTTTGTGCCCGGCGCATCGCTGACCACCGCCGCCGATGTGGATGCGGCCACCCAGAAGCTGCAGGAGGACATTGCTGCCGATCCCAATGAGCTGTCCCAGCTGCAGTCCATAGCCGATCAGCACTCGAAGCTGGCCATAAACTTTATTTACATGCTGCTGGGCATGGGCCTGGTGGCCATGTGTCGCAATCTGATGCGCGAGGAGGTGCACGTGAAGCTCAAGGAGATGAAGGAGGACACCAAGCTGTGTGTCGAGGATACGCGTTTGCGTTTCGTGGGCTGCTGTGGCGATCCGCGTGATAGCTACGAGAATGATTATTACTAGGCGGTGTGTGTGTGTGTGTGTGTGTGTGTGTGTTGAGTGTGATTGTGTGTGTGCTCTGTCTGTGTGTCTATGGTTCTGGCCTCTCCCTTCAGTTTGTTCTCGGCTAATCCCCCGCATCATCCCGCAGCTCACCATTGATCAATTTCTGCAACTTCAAGAGCGGATACGTAACTTCGAGGGCATGCTTGGCGGCGGCAGCGGGGAGCGTTTATGCACGCCAAGCACTTCGGCCGGTCCGTTCCGCATCTTCTCCGTTTCCGGCTTCCAGAATCGCGCCAATGACATTGTCTACTGTCCGCCCATTGTGCGCCAGCAGTCGCAGCATGTCGAGGACTCCACGGCCATTGTGTACTTTGGCGGCGACGTGCAGGACTTTCCGGAGAGCATGGAAACGAATCGGGACAGTCGCGGCTACATGAAGTACAATCTCGAGAATTCGGCTATACTGTTGCGCGAGGCATTTCCGCGCTCTCACATTATTGTCATACGGCCAGTTCGGTGAGTAAATCCCTGGCCATTCCCCTTTGCACCCGTTTCTAATGGAAATTCCTTGATGCAGCATGGAATTCAAGACATTTAGCTGCTTTGACAACTTTGTGCGCGGCAACAATGCTGGAGTGCCCGATCATACGCCCATGAACCATGCGCTGCAACATTTGGAAAAGTAAGTTGAGGCTGCAAAGCGCTTGCCTGATCATCACTGATCCACTTTTATCCCTCACAGATTGCTGCAGAATCTGTCGCAACGTCTGATCTCCATACCAGAGAATGAGATACTCGATCAGGCTGCCCAGGCGGCAGCCGCTGCTGCTGCTGTCCAGGCTGCAGCTGCAGCCGCTGCTCTGACACTGTCCAATGCCACGACAGTGCCCTCGGACAGCAGCTCACCCTTGGCGGCGGTCAATGACAACAGCCAGGACATGGACATTGACATACTGCAGGTACAGGAAAATGTCACAGTGGATGCCGACGGGGAAGTTGTCTTCCCCATGCTGCCCGACGAGGCGGATGAGGCGGCGGACCCCGCCACAAACAATGGTGGTGGCAACAACGGCAGCATTGGCAGCAACGATGTTGGCCTGAATAACCATCAGGAGTCGAACAACCAGCAGCAGCCGCAGCAGGAGTCATCGCCCATCAAAATAGCAGCGCCAGTAGCTCTGCCGGCAGCCAACAACGTGGAGCACTACAACAATTTAAACAACAGCAACAGCAGCAGCAGCGAATGTGCCACGGGGCAGGGACAGGCGAGGCAGACAGCGACGCTGACAAATGATGGCAATCCGTTGTGGTGGCGGGAGAACCTCAATCTGGACAAGTCCAAGCTGGTGCTCATTGGCTTCAGCAAGGGCTGCGTCGTGCTCAATCAAGTGAGTCGCGTTTGGTTCGTTAAGTCATTAACATACTTGGCACAAGTGGGCAACTCCTCGATCCTCACTGACCACGTTCGTCTTCTCTTCGTTGTTCGCTTCTATTTGCAGTTCATCTACGAGTTTCACTATCTGAAGACCCTCACACCCGATGACAGCAGCATGTGCCGACTGCTCTCACGCATTACGGACATGTACTGGCTGGACGGTGGCCATGGGGGACAGAAGAACACATGGATCACGTCACGCAGTCTCCTAGAGACACTCACACGGATGGGTAAGTGGTTTGGGAGTACCTTAAGGTTCACAATTAACCGATTCTTGTGCAGGCATGAACATCCACGTTCACCTCACACCGTACCAGGTGCAGGATGACCGCAGACCCTGGATACGCAAGGAGGAGAAACTCTTCACGGAGATGCTGAGGCGCTTGAGTGCGCCGATAACGAGGCACTTGCACTACGACAACCAGCCGGCGAACCTAATGACCCACTTCGAGGTGCTTCAGGCCTTCTGCCAGCACGTCCATGCCCTCAACCAGCAGCAACTGCAGCAGCAGCAGCAACAACAGCAGCAGCAGGGAGTCACCGATCAGTCTGCGGTGGCCGTGGCAGCGGCGGCGGCAGCAGCGGCCGCTGCAGCAGCAGCAGTGTCAACGGTGGCGACCAACAATGGCAGCAACAATATTCTGGATGCCAGCGAGGAGGCAAAGTGACAGCTTCAACTGCATCCACATCATCACAGGCGTCGCTTGCATGCAATGCGGAAGGGGACAGCTGCTCTGAAGCGCAGGCAGGTGCAGCAGCTGCGACGGCACCACCAGCAGCTGCTGGCTGCCGATCTCTCGCTGTCCTCCTCATCGTCTCGCTTGGCAGCGGCACTGATTTCATCAGCGGTGGCGCTCAGTAATGCCGCATCGACGTCGTCGTCGTCCACATCCGCTTCTGCAGCAGCAGCGATCAATGTAAATAATCATCATCACAGCCACAGCCATATGCAACAACAGCTATTGCCGCCAGGACAACAAGAACAACTACAACAGCAGCAGCAACAGCAGACACACTCGCACAGACATCACCATCATCATCATCACCACCATGGCCACAGCCACAATCATAACCCTAACCATAACCATCATCAGTGTCGCTCGAAACGCAAACTACAAAAATTGTATTATACGCTTTGCCGTTAGATTCGTACACCCCTAAAACCCTACAACCCTTTATAATTAAATGATTATATATATAACCTTATATATATATATATATATATAGTACATATGTATACATGTATGAGAGAATGTTTCTTAGAACAACCTAACCTTAAGTCGGTCAAATCACATCACAAGCCCAAAATCCCCCGCATCTCATTCAGCCCTGCCTCTATTTCTGCTACTTCTAGTACTTCTTTGCATCTCTATGTACACCATCTGTCTATATAAGTTCCAAAGTCATGTCGCGTATCTCTATGTTGTATATTTATTTATTTTACATTTATTTTTTTCCCATATTTCTCACACCAAACCTCAAACGAAACTGAAGCGAAAATCTCATCAGTGCAATACTATATAGTATATACATATGCCCCAAATCTTATATATATGTCTATATATATGTATTGAATTTTTTTATCACTTTATGTATACAAACACTCCAAGCTATTTATTGATAATTGAGAAAGATTTGTGATTTGCGCACATTAATTAACTTCATTCAGCTTAAATCATAAGTGTAGCAATTTCGAGCAATCTTCGTTTTAAGTGACCCCAGCCCCAGCCCCAGCCCCAGCCCATACAAAAAGGAATTTATGTACTCCCCACTACACTACACCCAAAAAAACAAGAAGCAAAACCATCTGATTAAGTATTACTTAGCGTTTAGTAAACATAAATCTTAAGTTGCAACCAAGATAAAGGACCGAAGAAGTACTTTATAAATTGCTAAAACGAACCTCTCAGTATGTAGTTTGAAAGAACAATTGTGCACGCGGCTAGCCCCAGATTTGGAGCAATATAAAATGATCAAAATTTATATGATTAGAAAGAGCAAGCAATCATATATATATGATATTTCTATTTGTAGTGTATATTTTTGGTTGTGCTGCTCCAATGCGAATAAAAATGAAAACTTTTGTCTAGCCATTGCCCAAGCCTAAACCACATGGAAATGTGCATAAATTGAATTGCTTTCGCTTAACCCAGAGACAAGAGCAAACACAAGAAGCTTGTGGCTCACAAGAAAACAATTATATAGAGTGCGTAGAGAGACACTTTTCCCCCCTCAGTACATACACAACACAAAATTTCGTACCTTGGTAGAATTTGCAGTTCAAAATTGCTTTAGAGTTTGTCAGTGTAAATTGTACGGCTTAAAACTCAGACACACACACACACACACAATTTAGGCAAGAATAAACACACATGAATACATATACAAAAGTACAGTTGCAGTTGCATTATGTGCGCATGTGTGTGTGTAGCACTTAACTATTAATGAACATTATAAATGGAAAAAGCTGCGCATAAATCGTGCTAAAAGTAAACTTTTACTTCTTTAGCGATTAAATAGAGTGTTTCCACACGCCCCGACGACATGTAAATTCTACGAGGAGAGTCTGGTAAAAATAAATGAAATAAGCATAAACGAATACAAATACGAATACAGAGTAGAAGGAGACACGCACAACACTCAACACACTGACTGTTGTTGCTCTTCAAATTTGTTTCTTTTATTCAAACTACTTACTTTTAAAATAAATTACAATTCTATTGTACTTGTAAAAAAATATCGCTTGTGTTGCGCCCACAGACTGCTACTGCTTCATCCTTGAGATTTATGTATATGTCCTTGGCGGAGGTGGCGTCGGAGGTGTCCAGGCTGTCTGCTATGCAGCGGTTCCTGGGCACTACGCACAGTCGTTGCGGCACTTGACGTGTGTCGTCCACTCGTCGCTGCCGTCACAGCAATCGCATACGTGATCGTTCACGCGACTGCTGGCCACATACTTGTCCTGGCCGCGGCCAGTTATGTGGCGCTTCTGGTAGCGGCAGTAGAAGCGCCCGTTGGTGCAGGCATTCGTGCTGGGCTCGTCGCTGCCGTCAGCCTCGCAGTCGCAGTAGTTGTCGTTCAAGTGGTCGAACGCTATCTCCTTGCTGCCATCCAGGCACTTGAACTTGCCCTCAAAGTTTGGTTTGTACGCGTCATAGTCGAAGAGGCGCGTACCGCTGTGCGTGCAGAGGAGGAACTCATCAAAAATTGGCCGAGCAACAGCTCATAGTTTGGGATTCGACTTACCGTATAATTTTAATGGGCTCCACATCGGGAGCGGAAGATGTGTCCGGGCCAGCAGCGGCCGCTACTCTCGCCTCCGTTGCCCCGCCGCCATCGAAGGGGTCCACGTCGCGCTGTTTGCTGCCCAGGGACAGGGACTGCATCATTTCCTTGTGCTTGCGGCGCAGCTGCTGCAGGTTCCAGGGCGAGTGCACCGTGGGCAACTGGTTCAGCGAGAAGGCCTATTATTCGTTTATTATATTATATACATTTTGTACACATTTAGGCTGGCCAGAATGCCGAAAATGGTTTCGTATGGGTTGTATCGGTACCTGATAGGCGATGAACGATATTCCCACCAGGAAGATGAGCAGCAGGAACATTTTGGATTTCTGCCTGTAGAATGGCTTGTAGTAGATGTTCTCACGCTTCACCCATGTCTTGCGCATTGTGTCTTTTTATTGGCAACAATTCTATTCTGTTTTGTTTATAGAAGCATTTTTTTTTTTTTTTTTTTTTTTTTGTGGTTTTAAGTTACCGCTCTACCCTTAGGTAGAGGGGAATTATTTGGCCACCCGCCTTTCAAGGGGGAAATCGCCACGTCGTAATATGTAACTTGGTTACAGCTTTGCTCTAATACTTACCTGGCGTAGAGGTTATTTTCCCCACGTGCTTGCAGTGTGCCCAGACACGACTACATAGAAGCATTTTATTGTTGTTGTCACAGACACAGTGTGACCGTGGGTTTATCGATGAAAATACTGCACGATTCTCAAAAATAAATACCGAAATATACTTCTCATTTTGGATTGGAGATGGGAGCGTGACTCACGAGTGTACATTTGCAAACTATATATAAAATTAAGATTTCCATATATTTTCAATATAAAATTTGTAATATTTGTAATACATATAGTACAAAGGACTTTATTTCGCTTTAACCGGTTTTCATTGTCTATTTCCTATTTTCTATGGAGATGGGAATGCATTAAAGACATTTGAGAGCTGCTGACCCAAGGCTATAAGATTGGGTGGATGGTGGGATGGTGTTTCATGATTTGTGAGCAAATAATAAATAAATTCATATGGGAATGCCAATTACAGCAGAGTTCAAGTCCTGCCTACAGTCCGAGATTATGCCGCCTTGAGGAGAGCTTCGTTCTTGTACACTTCAATGACATTCTCGATGATCTCCCACTGCTGCTCCCTGGTAAAGTCCTTAACGAGCGGCTTGTACCACATGGAACCCTCCTCCGCCTCGTCGGTGAGCGGCACCTGTATGCCGTACGTCTGCATGGCCAGCGAGAGGCAGCCAATGGCAACGTGTGTGGGCTTGTATTTAAGTATGTTGGGGCTGTGGTGAAAGTCTTGTAGGTACGAGGCGGCCGCCTTGGCTATCGGCACCGAGTTCCACACCTCGGCACCCACCCAGTCTTGCAGGGTTTTCATATAGTAGAGAAGGTACTAAAGGGAGAAGATAACGTGTGAAATTGGAGCAAAAGGATCTTCCCAACCGAAGGTTTACCTTGTGCGCCAGATCTATGTTCAAGTCAAACCCGAGTGTGCGTGTAATGAGCAGCTCTGCTTGGACAATGGCATCGCGCATGGACCAGTATTCATCGTTCAGATCCAGCGGAGCACTGTCACGATTCAGTGTGCAGTATGCCACGTTGATGACGTCGCGTATTTTCACACAATCGTCATCCTTGATTTTGCCAGCCAGGTACAGCGAAGATGCGGCAATTAGCTGGCAGGAAAGTTAGCTATTAGACAGATCTATTTAGCAGTCCCATTTATGCACTCACGAACTCATCGTAGTCAGTGGGCTTGACCTCCTTGAAGAAGCGATGGTAGACAATGGCGGCACATGCGGCAGTCAGTGGCTTCATCTTGAGCTTGGTGGCGCACTCGAATATGTACAGTGGCACAATGCCTGGCATGTTCAACTTGCTGCAAGCAGTAGGGAGAGTTGCAATAAATAATGCACGGTTTGGACATTCAGCTTTGGACTCACCGATAGTCAATGGGTTTGAGCGCTTGGGCCTGGGCTTTGCTGGACTCCACGTGCTGCTGCAGCGACATGACATCTAAAACGTTTTTCATCTTGTTAGCAGTGCAAATAGAGGAATGGGCACGTAAACGTTGCCGAAAATGTTTGGTTGGCGAGTTCGTTGGCACCGACAGAGATCCAATAATAAATCAGCTGGCTGTGCAACCAAAATACATGTGGGGCAAAACACACACCGAAAATTCGAGACAGACGCAACAGAGGAAAACCGGTTTAACGATATTGGCTTTGCGCAATGTTGCTCTGCTCGCAGATGGCCAAAGAAAGCTAGCGGAGTTTGTACAGCTGTTGCGTTGTGTCAAGGGGGTGGACGTATTTGTTTTGTCTGAAAACCTATTGAGATCCGTAAATATGTTATTTAAATATTTCAAGCACACAGCCAGTGTGACCGCGTATTTATCAAACAAATATACCGTGAGGGCCTCGAAAATATACCGAAATATACATTTTAATTTTCAAAATATACAGTAAAATATACTGGGAATCTAAAATCATTTTACTCGATTTTAATGTTCAGTTTATTATTATCAGGTAATTAGTACTCTTAGAACTGAAACTATACTTTTATTCGATTTAGCAATCAATACTCCGTCAGGTAGGGATGCTTTTATGACTTCCTGCTATTGGATTGCTTACAAAATAATGTTTAAACTAAAAAGGTAAATACAATAGAAATTGGCATATTTATTTAAGTACCCATCGCTTCTCAAGGGGTTAATAAATACATCGACTTGCTACACTTGTTTCGTGTCGTATCAAAAAGCTAGAGGTGATCAACGAACGATTGTCAGAGCACGATAACGGAGGAACACACACACTCACAACCCTCCAGCTGTTTCGTTATCATTGCAAAAATTAAGTGAAACAAATTCCGCACTAAACAACTCCGACACGGCCACATGAAGATGGATCAATAACGCCTGCAGAAGCTAAAACTAAACCAAAACTGCTAATTGGATTGTGCGCCAGCAGACGGTGACAGGCAGCGTTCAGCTTGCGGGAGGCAGGAAAAATATTTGGTAGATACACAAAACAAATACACGGGTGCACCCACAACTACGCGCCCGCCCCCACCCCGCACAATATGAAAGCAACAGCAACAAAGGCACGCGCGGCCCGACTTACGAGTCTCACCGAAGACCTGGCCAACATACCCGAGGATGCCCCATTCCGAGTTCGACTTCATTATTTGTTCTCGCAGATTGAAAAGGAATTCGAGCAGCTCTACCTGGAGAATCAGAATTGTGAGTACATTTGTCATTCGATAACCGTACCCAAGGGAACTCAACTCAACACATTCTTTGGTTGCAGTGCAAGAGAAACTTGAGAATGCCACCAGCAACAGAGAATCGCTGACCTCGCACGAGCCACGCGAACGTGAGCGTTATGGAGCGGGTGCAGTCATGCCCGCCATAGCAACTGGTGGCTCTTCCCTCACCGCTGCCACACCCTCGACAAGCACACAGGTGGATGAGGTAGGTGCCAGCTTCCTGGCAGCAGCCTCCAGCACACACAAGAGCCTCAAGGCGAAGCTCAGCAGTGCCACGGGCGGCAGCAAGGTGAAGGCAAGCAACAAAATCAAGGCCCAGACCAGTCGCATTGTGTCCAGCTTCAAAGCGCAGACGGTGGTCGCGTCGGTGGTGCGCGAGTTTGGCGGCCACAAGGATGGCATCTGGCAGGTGGCTGCCAAGACTGGTCAACCCATCATTGGCACGGCTTCGGCCGATCACACAGCCTGTATTTGGGGCATTGAAAGCGCCCGCTGCCTGTTGCAGTACCAAGGGCATGCTGGGTCCGTGAACTCCATCAAATTCCATCAGAATCGGGATCTCGTGCTGACTGGCAGTGGCGATGGAACGGCACACATTTGGCAAGCGGCCGTCAACTGGGAGGTGCCCAAGTAAGTGAGCGACAAATGTGGCATCTCGGCATTCTCTCAACCTCTTGGTTTCCCCACAGAAAGGGCCACTCTTCGGAGGAGGAACTCGATGATAGCGATGAGCAGGTGGAGGACCGAGATCGCGTCGACACGTTGCGCACTCCGCTCTGTGAGTTTGCTGGCCCTGGTGGCCATCTGTCCGTGGTGGTGGCTGCCGACTGGCTGTCCAGCATGGATCAGATCATCACCGGCAGCTGGGACCGCACCGCCATATTGTGGGACGTGGAGACGAGTCAGCCGCTGCAGCCGTTGACAGGACACGATCACGAGCTGACACACGTTTCGGCGCATCCCACGCAGCGTCTGGTGGTGACCGCCTCGCGTGATACGACCTTTCGTTTGTGGGATTTCCGAGATCCCATACCAGCCGTATCCGTCTTCCAGGGACACACAGAGACCGTCACATCGAGCGTGTTTGCTCGGGATGATAAGGTGGTGTCCGGCTCCGATGATCGCACCATCAAGGTGTGGGAACTGCGCAACATGCGCTCAGCGCTGGCCACAATACGCACCGATTCGTCGGTCAATCGGTTGGCAGTGTCCACCGGAGGCATCATTGCCATACCCCACGACAACCGACAGATTCGTTTGTTCGATTTGAATGGGCAGCGGGTGGCCCGCTTGCCGCGCACCAGTCGCCAGGGGCATCGCCGCATGGTCTCGTCGGTGGCCTGGGCCGAGGAGCCGCTGCTGAATTGTGACTTGTTCTCGTGCGGCTTCGATCGACGCGTCTTCGGCTGGTCCATTGTGCTGCCGAAGGATAACTGAAAGTGACTCAAAAACTGAGCCGCAGTCAAACGGCCCAAAGCAGAACAAACTAAACCGCTTTAAGCACACCCGGAATAATCCTCGAACAAATCTAGATCTAGGATGGGAATCGTCCCATACCCGTACTTATGCGTAATCATATCGATCAAGTATTATTATCACCCGCTCTGAGTGCAACTACATGTTTGCTTTTATGCCAAATAGTCGTGGTTATTAATCATACTCGAATTATCATTGTTCCTGCGTAAGTGACGGATTTAGAACAGAGATTGGGGAGCGAGACTGGAGCGTAGAACTTCCAACTATAAATATTATACGTGTCTGTGTTTATTTATCAATAATACATACAAAATGTAACTTACTGCACTAATATGTCTAAGGCATGGGCTTAACGTTGATGTGTGTTACAGGTAGAACAATTCAAATAAAACGTAATTAAACGCCCCTCCACCTATCGTTGGGTAACTCAATCATTTAACTTTGGAATACACCTCAGAGGTGCGCGAACTTGAGCACCAGCAGGCCAATGAGTATGCCCAACTCCAGTAGGATTATGCACACCAATATGATCTTATTGTAGAGCACCTCGCGGCCAAGTTTGCGTATGATTGCGCGAGACTTGGACAGATCCTGGTCGGCATCTTCCAGGCGGCGTGTGGTGCGCAGCAAGGACTCGCGTTGCTCACCCAACTCACCCAGCACCTACAGGCAAACAAGTTAACATTTTTACAATTAATTTTCATTGGTTTTGCACTAACCTCCGCCCCCATGTTCTCAGTTTCGATGGCAATCTGATTGGAGCGCTGAATGCTGTCGCCGGTGCGCTGCAGGACATCGTAGGTGCTGGCTGCCAGCTGCTGCTGACGCTGTTCGTGGTCACTGCCACTGGGCAGCTGACTGTAGCCGGCGTAGGACATTGTTTTTTTTTGCAAAATTAAATGCAGTGCAAAAATCAAAACAAAGACCGAGTAAGACCGTTTGTGGGTGTGCTAGGAATCGCACATTAGCGCGTTTCAGAAATGCACTAACGCGTTTCGCCCGTTTGTTGTGTGTGTGTTGTTACCAAGGCCCGTATCAGAGGGGGCGATTTATAAAGCTGACAAAACCAAAACAAAGAACCATCAATATCAAAGGTTCTTATCTAGACATGGGAATTAGTTCTTGAAGCGTTATTAATTTAAATTGATAGTGTCTACTATACGAACTTACTTACATTTACGTACATATGTAGCCTCTCGAGCATTTTGACTTTTGTATTCCGATTTCTGATAACAGACAACGCTGATCATACATAGTGGGCATGCGAGCGAAAGAGAGAGCCAGCTACGAGAGAGAGCTAGACAAAGTGAGAGCGAGTGGTGCGCGCTATATCCGATGCGGCAGAGTCGCTTTACTTGCTTCTCCGAATGCCAAATTTAAAAGCAAGAAAACGCTGGCACTGACCAGACGTGGATCGGGATTTCGTGATCGGCAACCTACACAGGCGCAACGGGCAAAAACAAGTTCTAAATTTATCTCACATACTCTGGGGACTCTCGACTCTGGTGTCTTTGGCATTAAAATCATTTTCGGAGCTGTGAAGGTAAGCGAATCAAAAACCAGAAAGCACAAAAACACAATTCAAACAACAATATAGTCGCAGACAGGCCAATATTATTTTGCGATTATCGAGTTCAAGGTGATCTTGACTTGGAAAGAAAGTGCCACTGCAGCAGGGACAGTGTTCCGTGAGTGTGTGTGTGGGTAAAAAAGGAAGAAAAGAGCCCAGGGCCAGGCCCAGGCACAAGCACGTGGCTGCAGCTCATGAAAATTGCCTGCATTTTCCCCATTGCAAGGCAACAGCACGTGATTTGCTAGTAGCTGCTGCTACTGAGCTGCTTGTGGGCGCCTGTCATGGGACTCATTGTGTAAACGCTGCGCCGCTCCCACCTGCCCAGAGCCAGAGATACCTGCTACCGTAGCTTTGTCTCTGTCTCTGGGCGCGAGTATCTCTCCGTTACGCACAGACGTCAGGGGACCCACCACGAGTGTGAGTGTTGCTTAGTGACTGTGTGCGTGTGTGTATGTGTATGTGTATGTGTGGGTCGTGCTCACCTCTCCAGGGGCGTTACGGAGAGTCGAGTTTTGAGTTTTTATGCAATCGCGTATCATGTGATCTGCTGTCGTTCTGCAGTGATCCGTGGAAAATATCTTGAATAGAATGGAAAACTCCCTTGCACTTAAACAGCACTCAAGTAGTACTCCAAACCCAATAATTCCGACCAATAAATTTCATTTAATTGTAATTTATGATCTCGTTTCCACAAGCACTTCGATCAATCAATCAAACTGGCTGATTAGCCCTCGTCCGTTCCATGCAGCTGTTTATGAATGGGAAAATCGGAATTGTTCGAGAAATCTAGAAAGCCTAGATTTTCAAGCCTCTAATACACGGCGGCGTCTGGTAATTATGCCACTTGAGTCGCAGATCTCCAATAATTGCGTAACTTCAGCGTGCTTATCAGCAAAAAGCAACTGGGCGGAGCACTGCACTCGGGAAATAATACTGAATGGGGGGCTCCCAAAGCCTTTGCCAATTCACCCTTTGCTTATCATTTGGCACAGGCCCGTCGTCACTGGTTAGTGGGCTCTGGAGCTGCAGGCACTTTGAAAAAAGTCAATTGCTGTATCGACAATTGTCGTTTATAAACGATGAGATGAGTGTGTGCCCAGGCCCGGTCTGTCTGTCTGCCTTGAGACGTACGATCGCCTCCATATGTATCGTTGCTCGCAACACCCCTTGAATGACAAAGCGTAGTGGAAAATGGAAAAAAAATTTGTCATAAAATCGGGCACAGCAATATTGTTCAATAAAAGTTGAAGTAATTCGAATTAACAACAAATAGAACGTAGCGCAAAGCGAGCTGCGATAGAAACCCACAGAGAGAGAGAGGCAGAGAGCGAGAAAAACAAACAAAACAGAATACAAAACTTGACGAAACTTTAGTGGTAGCGATATTAACGGTGCCAGCACAGCCATGGGCGTGCACTGTGACGGGGGTTGACGTTCGTCAGCGCTGCCTTGCGCCCGCCCGGCAAAGTGTGATTAAGGCTCTGCCCTCCCCACCCATCTTACATGTGTATGCAGGACCAACAACATAAAGGGAAAAGCACTCGAACACCTAAACATTTATACCACCCCACCTCACACACAGTCGCACGCAAACATCACGAAAATGACCAGCGAAAAGCTAACGGCAAAAGCAACGTCGCATTCGGTTGCTGTTTTGAAGTTGAACTGGTTTACAGTTACTCTGGGCCCGCCGCCTTGGTCCGTGCTGTGCTGTGCGTGTATTCGGCAATTGGAAATTATTTGTATTATTAACGAGAGTGCGCGCTCATCAAATTTATTCAACCACGTTTGCGAGGCGAGTTACAATTGAAAGCGAATGCCACTTCATTAATTGGGTTTGAAAAGGAAAATAAAACATCAGGGGTATACACATAATTTCGTTATACATCAGACAGTAAAAATATATAAATTAATATATGCTATGGCTGTGGCATGATATCATTATCGCTGATTTAACAACAATGGCTGCTACTGTATGGGTTCGTGTCCGTGCTAAGGGAGTGTCACTCGATTCATCGTTCTAGCAAACACGATCTGCTCCTAAAATGTCTAGAAATTCTGTGTAATCGCTGCAAGGAAGCCAATCTTTATACTTCCTGCCCAAACAAAACAAAAATATTCCATTCAGTTAGCTCAAACTTTTTCAAGTCAAAATTCGACTTTCCACTTTTCGTTCCATTAAATATTCCATTCAGTTAGCTCAAACTTTTTCAAGTCAAAATTCGACTTTCCACTTTTCGTTCCATTAAATTTATGAAGGTTGTAAAGTGCTCAAAATTCCTTCGGGGGAATACTTTTGGTGCTTTTATAATACTCTATGGAGCATTGTAAATTTAACTGGTATACGCTGCATATTGGCACCTGTGCGGCTTTCCCATCGTTTCTGGTGCGGGCGGGCACACGCCAATCGGTCATTAATAATGCCATAAATAGTTCACCATTCGTAGCCCATCAATAGTAGCTGGCCATATTCTTCGTATGTGCATTATTAATAATTAACTAGAGCGGGAGGGAATGGGAGTTTCATATCATTGCTATTTTTAGCAAGTGGGCGACAATGAATTGCGCCTTGGACAGTACGAAAAGTTGCAAATAAAAAATAGAACCTATCAAACAAGCAATTATCATTGGACGACCGGTGCAGGGTGTCAAGTGTTTGAGCTGATAAACGTGCCAAAACTGAGCCATGGCATTGCTTGGACTGTTCTCAAGATATGTACGAGTATGCCGGCATGGGAATGACCAAAAAACAGCAAACATCAGCAAGCAACAGGCGGCGGCGAGCAAGTGAATTGCCTCCGATTCCCATTCCCCCTCTCGAGCACTTGATATCCACAGCTCTCGCGGGAATATGAACCGTCTACTGTCGTGACTGCCCCAGAAGTCTGCCACGTGATTGATCGATGGAAACCACCGAGTTCTGCTGCTGGTTTTGGCTGCTTTTTGGTAGGGATTGTCTGCCTCTGGGCTAGTGGCCAAGGAACCATCACACATTGTGGTTCGTTCTATGCTGCAGCCATTATGTCCATGGCAAAATTACAAATGTTTCGAGCACCGCTTCTCTATACTATATAGGATAACATGTGTACATCGTGCCGCAAAAAGCAAAAGCTAATTCTCTCCTGTCTGTGTGCGGGTGCCCATTAATGTTCGATAATGTGCTGATGTCTCCGTGTCGTTGACTGCTTGGGACCGCCGATGATGTCACAGCCAACCCAAACGTCTGTGTGTACACCAGGACCCCTGCCCGCCCCGGTTGCTTTCGAACTAATCAAATCAAAAACACTAATTACTTGCATTTTTCGAGTTTCAGTCATTTTCGGAGTAGTATTTACATATGGCCTGGCAGCACTTGATTAGACGACAATTACAATTATCACTCATTTTGGGTTAATCATTGGGCTAAACATGTACCACTATCCCGCATATTTTGGTTGGGGGGTTTTACGTGCCGGGGAATGCATTTAGAGCCGACAAAGCGATAAGAATTGTTTTTCTTGGGCAGTAAACAATATTGCATCGGGGCTCTTCAAATAAACTGAAGCAGCAGATTGCCACAAAATATACGATGCCAAAATGTACAACAAGTATACAATGCCGAGTACTTTAGCCTTGTAGAGCTGCAAAAGTACATAAATACATATGTACCCTGTGCATTTATACATACAGAAATTACATTTTAGGGTCATGGCTTTCGTGGTAGATAATAATTACTGATTACTGCCTTCGCAAGATTTTTACTATTTTATCTGGCAAATATTGTAATGGCAGACATAAACATGGGCAGAATTTATTTGCAGCCTTTGGGGCTTCCAAAGACTGAACCTATTATGTATGTACATATTTATGTATATTCATAGATCCATAAAGTTACAGCAACAAATGTACATTCAAATGTGTCGTGGTCAGCGAGGCAAAGCAATAAAGCAAGAGTTTTCATAATCTAAATTATTGCTCATAAATCGGTTAATTCTAAGAACTAAAAATGTGTATACATATACATAAGTACATATTAGCAGCAAAAATAAATGCCATGCCATTTTCTTATCCACATTGTATTCCTCCACTTACAGAATTTTTGTATCTAATTTAAATTGTGGCAAATTGTTCCCTTAAAAATTGCTCTTGCTCAGTTCCGGGAAAGAATCTGGGGTGCATATTGATAAGGAGCAATTATGTGGAAACAAATCATCCATAATTCCCACAGCTGAGGGCTCCCAAACTCTGTGGGGTATTTTAAGAAAATCAACACAAAGTTTTGGGCTGTGTAGCTGTCCCTGAAATTACTCGCAAGTCCAAAATTCGAGTATATTGTCGTACTGCCTTTTATTTTCACAAAAGTTACGTGCTTTGGGGGCTTTAATTGATT